AATGACCACCGTGCCAATAGATTTGTTTTGTAATATGTGATTACTATTTGTAAGCTTATGACTCCATAGGATTATTCGCCTGAAGTAGAAACACAACTAATGACGGTTCAAAAATACAAATATGAATGTAGTAGTATATTAAAGTTTTCCTTGCACAGAGCTTTAGTTTGAAAGTATTTTAATAAAAAGGTAGCGTTCAACTACCGATTGATGCAAAAGTGTGCTTAAAAGAAGAGAGGTACGCATAACAGCATAAACAATGAAAGAGGCAGTTGTGAGCACGTTTGTATCCATGGCTAACCAATCCTTCGCCTGGCAACAGTGCTCCCTCCCTCAGGCGGTATGATCGGTGGATTTAGCCCTTCGTGACTTTATCAGAGAGAAGCATCTGTCTGCCGTCTGCGGCTGAAAGAGATGAATTCGTACAGTGGGAAACGGATTGGCACCCCGTGGCTGACAAAGACAAAAGGCCTTTAGAAGAAATTAACTATTTAACAGGGCTGTTAAATAGTTAATTTTTCATTTCAATCCAGCAATTTGTGTGTGTCCCATCTAGCCAGGGCAATTAAAAATAAATTCCCATCCCTCCTCCCGGGCTAAACGACAGCTTGCTGAGGATCACGAAAAAGCGAAACCTCAAAGCCGTCAATGTCAAAGTTCAGTGTGCGCTTTTGTTTTAACTAAGCTGGTGGAAAACAAGATCTTAAGAGCCGCATCTGCACTGGGAAATGATCTGGCTTTTGATCGTCTGATGCGTTTGACCGTTAACCGTCGACTCCTCTTAAAGAAAAACACAATCCTTTGAAAGACAAAACACATTTTGAACACTCAATTGTGTTTCTAAGCCAGTTCAACGAATGTGACAAGCACTGATGCTTTTACAGCTCAATCTGTCTCGAGATAAAAGGAGAATTAACCACCCCGTCAATATAGGGCTTATTTTTTTTTAACTGATCCATTGCAAATCATCAAGCGCATTCCGACTCGAAGGCCGATTGAAGATAGATTGCCCAAGGAGGACAGTGATGTCGTCGTGCGAGCTGCATTCTGCAGCACCCGTTTGAAAGCGTATCTTCTGCGGCTGCTTCTCCGCGGGGGAACAGACACGAACCCAGCAGAGGAAGGGCTCCATCCTCTTTGAAGAGGGCAGTGGATGGTGGGCTTTTAGCGGCTACGCGGCTCCTGTTACAACTAATGATCCTCTCAAGAGGTACCGCGTTACGGGCGGTGCCTCAAACTACAATGAGAGGAGGCCAAATCCTGGAAAAACTGTTGTGGCAGTCACTTCACCGTTGAGGCGCAGGAATGCGGCCCAGCCGGAGGTAACCTGCTACCACCTACTGCGCTGCTGCTGGACCATTATCTCCATCTGGAGTCCGTCTCGGGCCGCCATAAACCATCCCGCCGTGGTGCAAATTCCTCACTGTAGTCCCGGCCCCGATAGGTGAGGGGTTATTCTGGACTTCATGACAAACTCCCCGTGACAAAAGGCCCTGAATGAGCTTAAGCCTGCACAACACGCTCGCTTTGTGTCTGCATGAGATGACGCACTGCCGGCAAACGCACTAGAGGTTTATAGAGACTTTTAAAACAGACTCAGTGTTTTCATGATCTTTATGCTTCTCATTGTTTGACAAAACATTTTCTTCCAAAAAGGGTAAAAAAAATATTTTTTTACCTTGTTTGAATACTAATGTACAATTTTCCGTATTCAACATCTTCATAAATAAAGATTTGATACTCAGAGTCTTAAGAAAACTACATAAATCAACCCCATTTTCTTAATACACTGGTAATTGTGTACTAGCTATCCACACACACACACACACACACACACACACACACACACGGGTAAATACTACATGTCTGCACAGGACGAGAGAAGAGGGGGGGGTGGGAGGGGGCCTGCTTATGCGTGCCAGCCTCAGACAGCTCACCACAGGACAAACACAGACACAAAAGGAAAAACTCACTGGTCACGAAAGCAGAGAGAAGACACGAGGCGGCCGCAGCGCTCCGCCAAAACAAAAGCACGCGGCCCCAAACCGCCGCGCGGCCTTTATTCTACAGCGGAAGGCCGGAATCTCGTTTGCACACGGCTCGGGACCTCAGACTTCCCCAGCGCTTGACCCAATTATCCAATTAGCCGAAGCGGTGGGCAAGACTGGGAGGTGATGACGGGAGGAACACCTGTGGAGGCCGTGCCTGGTGTGTGTGTGTGTGTGTGTGTGTGTGTGTGTGTGTGTGTGTGTGTGTGTGTGTGTGTGTGTGTGTGTGTGTGTGTGTGTGGGGCTCACAGGAGGTGGCTGCCTTAAATACTCATCAGAGCTGCTTGAGCTGGAAGCTTCAATAATGACGTCCTCTGATGTGGAGGCAGACATGACAGCATCACGACTGTGGTGGGGAACTCAAGACGGCCACATGCCATTGTTACGTGACTGTGAGTGCTTACACCCTTCCGTCGACTTTCCTAAATAGAGTCGCATTTTAAAGAGGAAACCACAGCATTTTCGGTTCGCCCTACGGGTGCTTCCCGTCGGGACAAAGAGCAGCCTCGAGTTTTGACAGCGCCGCCGAAGATCCGACTGGCACTTCCAAGAGCAAAAGCATCCCCCACCACAATCATTTCCCCTCCTTAGCTCAAGGTAACTCAACAGCTGTGTGGTCACATACTTGCGCACACACACACACACTCCATTAAGAGATTAGGGCCTAGCTGAAGCTAAAGGAAGTGATCTTCAAAATCTTCTTTCTTTGTTGTCATTTTTTTTTCCACATATAACCACACTAATGAAGAATACCCGTTTATTCTACATGAAAGGGAGTGTAAATACAGAAGGAAAAAAAAAAACCTGGCAGCAGATCAGAGGGATGGGAATTTTCTTTTTAGGATTATGAAAAACAAATGGTGCGACCAGAAGTGTTGGGATGGATTACACACAGGTGAAGGAGTGTCTTTACCTTAAGAAAGAGCCGACGGAGCGCGTTGCCCCACAGCGGGGCAATTACATGTCACACAAGACATTCCCCGTGCCTCTGTGTGTATAATCAGGGTGAAGAAAATCACCCTCTACAAACAAAGCAACAACTAGAGTCGCATCATACGCAGCGAGCCACATGCGGTTCATACAGAACATAACTTCACGCTCCTAAATGATGTTTCTCCTTTTGATTGAAACGTGTGCCCTTGCACGACTTTGTCAGAGACAGGTGGCCGATGTGCCTGGAACACAAATCCCATTTATGATGAGACGCACAATGTCAGCAGAGAGAACAAGGGAGGGATGGGAGGAGGAGGGAGGGGGTCACATACCAGCTGCTAGCCACAAAAAAGGACTTCTTAGCCTCAAACAGAGTGAGCACAGAGGAGTTTTGGGGCAACACAGAAGCACACATTACATTACAGGTAATTTAGCTGACGCTTTTATCCAAAGCAACTTACATTGCATTTTTTAACCCATGGCTTTTTACATTTTTGCCAGGGGAGTTCCAAAATACAGGAAATGTTTGGCCTGCTTAAATCTGTCACTATTTATTCAGAACTTTGACCTGCTTCTCAAACAAATGTGGCTTTGACGAAGGGCCTAGAATAAGTACTTCCTGCAGGTTTTAAAACACACTTATCTAATTTACAACCAGCTAGATGTGCTCTGAAATTCACCTTTGCCCGTGCTTCACCTCCACTGTGGGTTTGAAACCAGACCTGACAGAGAGGCACGGAAAAGCAACTGGCCCCGTTTGAGTGAAATACGAAGCCGTGTCGTATCCTGACCTCAGGCCCAGTTAGTTGACAAAATGAAGACTGACAGCGGTGATGTGAGGGGCGGAGGAGGGGTCCGCTGATAAAGGGACACCCAAGGGTACAGACAGCCGCCTCTTGCATCACTCAGCGTTCTGACCGCCCCGATTCTCCGGCGATGGAGCTCCAGCGAGGGTGGTGCGGGAGGGAGGGGGGCATTTTTCAAATACCTGAAGGATATTTACACACCTGCTCCACGTGAAGCAGAGGTGCACGAGCATGACAGTCACTGGAGGGATTGAGCCATCTGCATCCGTGGACGGGGGAACCAACCAACTTTAGAGAACGCAACTTCTCCGTCGGCTTGACCTTCATTGTTGTTGTGGAGCACAACAAAGACAGACAAGCGGTTGGAAGGTCTGCTGTTGAGGGCAGGCCGGAGTAGGGAGCTCGGGGGGGAGGGGCCTGTAGGGGGGGGCAGGAACCTGCAGTGTAATCATGGCCTTTGCCAAATGACAGGCCAGAGACGCTGCTAAGCAGAGTTCAAGGTGGGGCTGAGGGAGAGGTCACCCATTAAACTAATACTCCTGAGTCACGGCGAGCAGATTCCTCTGTACAACGTCAACACTGGGCAGCCGGGGGAGGCGCCACTAATACCCGGCATCCCAAGTGTGCAGCCGCGCCGCAGCGCGCCTCCATTCGTGGCTTCTGGGAAAAAAAAAAAGCTTTCAGCCGGCTCGATGCATTTTGTGAGACGCGTAGCGAGAGAAGAATGTAGAGTGCAAAAGCGGATGTGCTTGTTCCTGCAGACGTCATCGACGGGGAAACTGTGGATGTTAGTTGCTGTCAACAAGCACGTCCGTGTTTGTAGAACGTATCAACAAAAGATGTTTCAAGCATTACGGGACCAAGAGATGTCTCGCTGTGTCTGAGACCCAATTTCTTTCCAAAAGGATACTGGTAATTTAAAATAAACAGATTGGAGTAAACATCTGTACGTCTTGATGCTATTCTTTAAACAATTACACGAGCTAAGTGATTCTTCTTTTGCTTTATTGGACCATAAATGCAATGTAGGTTGTGAACAGCTGAAAGGCTGTGTTCCCAAGATGACGTTCAGTAGTTCACATGGATCTATCTCAATGTACACGGTACCAGTCAGAAGTTTGGACACACTTTTTCATTGAACGCAATGAGAACATGTATTGGTTAGCACTTGTTAAGTGTTTTTTTTAATGTTTTAATAATAATGAGAACTGACCTGGTTGATTGAGTTGGCACTGCAAGAGGCGAGGCACGTTCCCAGGGAGGCGACAACGAAGATGACGGGGTCAAAGGGCACCGGGGCCATTGCATAGCCGGCCGCTGCACTCGTTACCACCAGCGCTGAGAACACCGAATAACAGAGCAAATTAAAAACAGGCGCAGGGGTTAGAGAAGGTGTGCTGGGAAGCACAAGGTTGGTGGTTCGAGTCCAGGCTGCCCCATGTTCCATGTCGAAGTGTCCCTGAGCAAGACACCTAACCCCTAATTGCTCCCCGGGCAAAAATGTGAAAAGGCCATGGGTTTAAAGTGTAAGTGTAAGTGTAATGTAAGTTGCTTTGGATAAAAGCGTCTGCTAAATGACCTGTAATGTAATGTAATATTACTACTTCCAAGTAACCGGGACAGAACATTACAAAACTTTGCTTTGACTTGTTGCTGTAAACAAATGATTACATGTCAACATGAGGAAGGCCAAGTGCTAACAAGTTAACAGCACATTTTCATGTTATTTTATGTTCCTGACAACATTGGTAGTGTCTCAACATAAGCAGCTAAACAGATGTTGCCAGCAGCAGATGTAGATGCTTCTGTGAACTCCTCCTCCTCCATCTCTGATATAATGGTAGGGGAAACACTGCATATGTTTGTAAATGTATGCTAATTTGTATTTCCTTCCTCAATATGCCGCATTTACCACGCTCAGGCATGGCTTCAGTGATATTTAACAATCTTAATATATTTTACGCAATGTTTCGCATGCTTCACTTTTCATAGTCCATATTTTACGGGAAAAGAATCCGTTTTGGGGTATTCTACCTGTGAGTTTGATTTTAGCAAGCTTAGCATAGATATCCGGCAGCTGAGCACCATCGACCTTCAGCTGCTTCCACTGTCGGTCCAGACGCGCCTCCTTCGCCTCGTCCGTCTCCACGTGGACATGGGGAGTCTCTTTGGGAGCCCCAACAACACAGAGTGCAGAATCTTCCCGTACAGCTGCGTCGTCGTAGGGCTCAGAGGTTGAAATACCAGGCGGTGCTTTACTGGTGATATTCTCCGACGACGACACGTTATCCGTGAGCACAGGATCGAGAGTTGGAATCCTCTGCACCCGTCTTTCGACGCCGTTGTCGTCTCTCTCCTCTACACTGGTCGGACAGGGAGCCGCTTTCTGGGCGGCGCGTTGATGAAGCTCACTGTTGTTCTTTGTGACATACTGAGGGGAGACCAGAAAGTGGGCTAATAATTTGCAAATATGACGATGAAACAGATATCAGTGCTTTACAAAAAGGAAATAATGATATATTCACGGTACGGTTTGATACAGTGATACAGATTCAGTGAGAGATACCTGGCGTTTTAGGAAGTTGAGGTGTTGGTACGTCAGCCAGCGTGATGGATCTCTTTTGTGCAGCTGAATGAGGCAGCGGGCGGTCTGGTTGCAATGAGGAACATTTTGAATTAACTGCTTCAGACTGACACCGACCACCCCTACAAAACGTGAAAATAGTTTGGGATTAATTCACAATCTAAAAAAAAATACAAATGACGAACATTAGTGTGTGTGGAGGGGGGGTGGTAAATGCATTTAAATATTGCATTAATACTAATTAAACAAACTACAAACAGAATGCAACACAAACCATATGTTCCGCACAAAACTGACTGTCTTAAAGGATAAGACACCTCCTGGCCTTTACAAAATAAAAGCATGCTAACAAAGACTGCTGTGCTTAGCTAATGTTAGCTCGTCGTCACTATAATCTAACGTTGTCCGTGTCGGTTAAACATATTCATTCTCCCCGTTTACACACTGACATTGTGGGATATAACAGTAATAACATACGGCGCGTTCACCCAACACGTAACGTTAATGTGTCGCGGACCTTGTTCTCATCGTCACGGTCTGTCGGGTAACAGTTATAGAAGCCACGGTAACATTGGTTTACGGGTTAGCTTTACGCGCTATTTGATAGCACACGGTCGTAGGTAAATAGCCACAAATATATCGTTGTCAAACCAGACAGTGAATAGATGATAAATGTGGGTCTCTCCAGATGTGGTTGACTTCTATCTAAGGTCACTGCTAGCCTGTTGCCAAACATCTCAGCTGCTATAGATAGCTGTATGCTAGGCTAGCTAGCTAGCTTCGCCTGCAGCTTCAAGGGCTGTTTGCAGGCAGCGCAGATTAAAAGAATATCTTTAAACGCAGGAGCACGTTAAACATCGTGACACGTGTCCTCTTAGGTTACCTGACAGTCTGCTACATGGCGTTTTGTACATGTTCTCGTATCATGAAGACGGCTCCTGTTTCAGTTTCGACCCCTTCAAATGCAGCGGGACGCCATTACGACCTCGGGGGTGGAAGAGAAACACTTCCGGGGCAAGAAACGTCATCTAGTCCGTGAGAGAATTTCGTTAAAGCGATTTTGAAAAACACATGAATATTATATGTATTCTGAATACTACAATAAACATATACCATAAATACCTGCTACTAAAAAATAAACAAAAAAACTACTTAAATACTTAAAATCATATTAAAGAAAAAAAGTTGATAAAAAATATATAAACGTTAATTCAAGTGTAACTAAGTAGGCCTACATCTGGTAATAAATTATGGACACTTCAAGCTCATCTTTTTTTTCCTTGAGTCTTTTCTTATTTAATGCCACTCTCTGCCACTACATATATGAGGGTTTTTCTTTTTTGCAACTTTTTTGATGATCGTTTAATTCTTCATGCATAAACTGTTATTATTGACGCCTACTTTCCTACTATCAAATCTTAATATATTTGAGGTGAAAGAGAACCACAATGCATCTAATTTCTTGTTCAACCACTTTATTTAAAGAAAATGCCTTTCACCCAGAATGTCGCGGCACTAATCCACAGATTTCTTTAATTCTAAAGCGGCAGTGCTTTTTTAAGGTTAATATTGATTCCATGAAAGCACATTCATTTTTTGATGATGATGATCCTCATTTCAGTCCATGTTACCCACTAAAGCAATGGTGAAAACCTTCTTCATTCCCATTCCAGGACATGAGTCTGCATGCTATGGCATTGTAATTGGTGCCACAGTTTCAATGTATTCCCAGTCCGACTCCTTTTTATAAGGAACTCCAAACAATTGAGCTAAATTAAAGTAGTGCGAAACACCATCAGTTTATTTGTAACAAACCTTGTAAGGAGGTTTTTTTTGTATAGTCAAGTTACCAGAGAACCTCTGTCCCTGTCAAATAAATCTGGGCAAAAGACAGGATTCATTTTAATTCAAAATCTCCGTCTGATTCAATGTGTGGCGTTTCGTCTTCTGCCCTTGTACGTCCTCTGACCGGCCTCGCCGTTTGGCTTTTTTTATTTATGTGTAGGATCATCTTGTTGGCCCCGGCTGCCACGGCCAACAAGATGGAAACCTTCTGATTAATCCTGCTTTCACTTTGCCGCTTGGCTTTATTCAAACAAAGATAATGAAACTGTACGATTGTTTGCTTAAGCGCAGTGTGTAATTTCCTCAAACGCAGCAGGCCAAATATCACCGCTTTCGGTGTTACGACCATATTCTGCAATGGTGGTGCAAAAGTCCTCAGCAATCCCGACGAACTCAAACCCCCACCGCAGTCCAAGCCGAGCATCCAGTTCTCCAGATTCATCTGATTCATTCCGCTCTACCGCCAGCTCCTCCTTCCCCGCCAAGATTACACGGTGTAATCTTCATGCGCCATCAAGATGTGGGGGGGGGATAGCGAACGCCAACAATACACGCGAGGCCATCCGAGATCCAGCAGTAGATCACCTTTATTGAGAGAGATAACCATTGTGTGCTGTTCCGAGAGATTTCATTCCGCGCTGACCCGGTCAACCCCTTCAGGTTTGGCTTTAATGTGAATGCTGAAATGGAGGTTTATTGCTTGGTTTTACACCATATTATTTATTTCCAGCGTGCTGTTATATAATTTCAATGTTCCATGTTTTTCTTCGTTTTCCAACGCTGCAGTAATAGAGACTCTGGGGGCCGGAATTAAACCTGCCAAGTTTATGGCAGTGCAGGGCACGGCGTCAAACCATAATCTTTTGTATAGCAATCCGTACACGGCTACCGCTACAGATGACTGACATCCTCAACAGAATGTCAGGGCCTCGCAGTAACAGACAGGCTCATTCATAAGTACGCAGGCTGCCCTGCTCCTGTTGTGGACGTGAATAGAATAATATTTGTCTATCGCGTCCGGCAGTAGTTTAGCTGCAGCTTGTGAGTGTGACTTGGACTAGCTCAGGGGAATTAAGGAACCGGCTCTATTTATCCCTCTACGCCGGATCATCAGTCTGCAGCTTGGGCTAACGCGTTTGGACTGTATCAATGTGTCTTTTTATTTCTATATTTCTCAAGTGAATCTCAAATTCGAAACTTCCAAAAATTATAATTTGCTGTCGTTTTAATCTTATATTTGGTGAGTTTCTACAGTCAGGAAGCGCTACTTGTTTGGATAATTGCACGCCTGACTCCAGTGAGTAAAGACAAAGCCAAAACGCCTGGAAGGCCTTCTGTCCATAAGGTGGACCAAAAGACAGGAACTGAACAGCAGATGGACGGAAAGGAGTGAAATGGCTCAGTAACAATAGGAGGAGTTTGTGAGGTCTATTCAACCCAAAGGGCTCTTTCAGGAGAGTCTTTACAGTTATTCTACCTCTGGTGGTGGTCTCAGTGTGAGGGGCCTTTTATCACGCTGCTTTCACTGCTTCTTGAAAAAAAATGAAATGGCTGTAAACACGCTCTCTAGAGAAACAACGACACAAAAGGAGAGACGGCTTGTGATGTGTGAGGGGCCAAGACGTACAGTTTGTCAAAATAAAAATTGGCAGTTGTCCGCCTGGAAATACTAGATCCGAAGTTGCAGATCTACAGGCTGGGAAGGGTTCTAATAAATGAGGACCGGGTTGACACATAGATGTCTTTTACTAAAAAATAACTAATGCTCGCTTGAAATCCATTGTTGGCTAAATTGTTTCCCAATAACACATTTTACTTTCATGGAAAGCCAAGTCAAATAAATGAAAAAGCGGACGTCAGTAAGACGGATGGGCTGGCGCGTTGTTAGCATCTCTGGCTTCACTGTGAAGTTGGTGTGACGCATCTCGTTGGCAATTTCAAGGGTCTTGGAATTGACTCTGTTTTTGATTTAAAACACAGCTCCTTGGCACTTAGTGGTAAAAAGGTGTCATGTTGAATCAATTGGGCCCCAGGTTGTGTAAGCAACGTGCCGAAGAGCCATTAACAGACATTTAATAAGAAATGCCTCCATGCAAACAGCCTGCTGCCCACATATGGCCCCGACAAAATGACCAAACCGTTCTTTAAAGCTAGGTTTACATGTCCCACACTGGGGAACGCACAAAGCGTCCACATAATGAGACAACCCCCCCCCCCTTCCCTGGAAGCCCCAATAAATGCCGTAGTCAAATAACAGAGGCCTCCCGGACCTGTCATCGCCCCAGTTCATCTGCTCTGATTTACAAGGCCCGTCTCAGAGGCTTTAGTGCCATCACTAATCCCTCTGGGATGACCATCTGAATGGCACCGGAGTCAGACTTTCTGGAAAAAAAAACAGAAGGAGGCAGCTATGGTGCTGCATAACTCCAAGCAGAAACAGATGCAGGGGCGCTCTCCTGTTTGTAATTGATTTTCAAGGGCAACATCTTGTTGTCATAGTTTGTCTAACGAGCGCCCGGCTGGCGCCCCTGTTGCTCGTCAATGTCAGATGGAGCAGCCAGCCCACCGCCACGCCCCCCGGCGGGATGGCACCACGCTGGAATACTGACATCGCCCAAGGAATGTCCCCCTTCGAGACAGTCTAGCTCTCTTTTAAAATCCTCATCGACTCCTTTTTTAAAGGGTATTTCGAGTCGCCCGAGCATCTGAAACCTCCGGGAGAGAACTTTTGTCTCCTCCCAGGTGCCTGCGCTCTTCCCGCAGACAGCAGGTATCATCCGGACCGACGTGGACGCCACTGTTTATGTCTGAGATCAGGGGTGTCTTTGTGGGCCTCCAAGGCTAAGCCTCTAATTGGCCATGGTTCATCAATCACACGGAGCCAGCGCTTTCACACAAAGTCTCCTCCAAACAGCCAGGAGAAATGAGAGCCATGGAATGGACTCTATGTCTCCCAAAGGCCTGAAAGTAGGCTTTGGGAGGCGCGTGTGGTTCCAGAGAAAAAAAAATCTTCTCACCCATAATAATGCGCGAGATGCTCTGACTGATTGAATTACGTCCGTAAAAATGTTACTTCAAAAAGGAAAGAAAAACATCTGGTTTAAATTTGTTACTTGTTTGCTGTTTCCACTTGAACTCGACCTAACGGTGATTTATTGAGCAGTGGGAGGGCATTTCTTTCATTCCACTCTATTTCCGTATTTTGTTTTGGTGGCGGTGGCTGGAGAGCGAGGCGACACTCTACGGCGCTGCTGTAAAAGTGTGTCTGGGACAATAATCCAGAAGCACGTTCCAGACGGGGTCAGAGGGGTCACAACAACCCTTCCGCCATTGTGCACCCATTATTTGGTTTGGCTGAACTCTCAAAAGTCCAGGATTTGGCCACAGCGTTACGCCGAGACCACAAATTTGTCAAGTGGAATAAGGAAAATCCACAGCACAAGCGGTTTATGGGGTTAAAGCAAAGCCCTGACGTTTCCTCACATCCATAATGTGTTTTTTCCATCAGTTTCGGCGTGTTAGTTATTTAGTTATTCCTTCATTCCTCTGTCCCTTCATTCATCGTTCAACGCAAGGCAGGTTCCCGCGTTGACTTTGTAGAGGTCATGGAGGTTTGATGAAGATCAAGTCGAGCAAAACTGGGTTACTGGGCTTCACGTCGTCATATCATAAACACAAATACACGCACTAAACTTTCCCGCCGCCGGCCCATGTCCAATTCTCTCCAGTAACCGAGAGTAATCAGCTGTTTCAACCTCGTCGTAAATCTCAAAGTACGGCAGTGGCTTCCAGCCCAGATAAGAATAGGCCGTGTTTAGTCGCACTTGCCTCCGCATCATAAATCCACGGCCGTCTTCGCAGTAGCGGTTTTCCTGCTTCGTGCGTATCTCCCAACAGAGGAGAACATGGGGGAGGCGAGGATATTGCAAGACCGCAAGCATCCCGAAGGAGTCAATTTGCTAAATGGGCTGTCTCTTTCCTCCCCGCTGAAATATTTTCGGGTTTCCAGGCAAATGTTTTTACCATCACATGCAGAAAATATGAGCAACGTGGGTCAAAAATGCAAAAAATGTCAAACGGAAACTCCTAACAAAATGTTTTAATTGTAGGTTTGATCATTTATTGCTGTAGATGTGACGCCAACAGAAGCTTTTATGAAGGAAACATGAAAAAC